AATATATATAAATATAATTATATTTATATACATATATATACAAATATATATAAATATAATTATATTTATATATATATATTTATATATATATATATTTATATACAACATAGAAATATGTTCATACATGTATACAATATACGAACTTATACAAATAGAATCCTATGAATATACACACATACATATAGATCAATACAAACATAGTTATATATCCATACATGCATAGATAGAAGTCAATCAACCCAAATTAATATGTACATACCTGTGTGCACACAATATCCATACAAATATACATAGAAAAATAATACAAACTCGTGGACGCGCAAATGTATTTATACATATCAGTGCCACTCACATCATTATGAAAGCCGCATATATCCGCTCCCACCAGCGGGATCTGGTACAGATTGAAGTTGAGGATAGCTGAGATGCTCAGCCACATGTCTTCCCAAGTGGCATGGTTGTCTCCTGTCCAATGCCCTGCGTGTTGTCCCGTACCAGGGAAAGTCGAGCGTGTGATGATAAACGACCGTTTGCCGCGTGAGGACTCTAGCGCCTGTGATTGAAAATGGGTTGAAGATACGTGTGTATAAATATATATATGTATGTAACATATGCATTTTGATCAGTCTATTTGTATAAATGGTGACGTACACTTTGTTCACAACAATTAGAGCCACACCTTTCGCGTGGCGATGGACTGCATGTGTCCAAATAAATTGTGCGCATCGTATTCGTAGATGTCTCCGTCGTGAAGCGCGTCCATGGAGACTGTACGTTGCTGTGTGGGGTTAACGTATTGAAGTGTTAGAGAACATAAAGCGGCTTGCAGTAGCTAACCAGTGAGAGCTAAATGATATACAAGAAAGTGGGAGAACGTCAATCCGGATTCAGTATAGTGCTAGGAGTCTCGAACAACTAAGTCGATCGACAAGTTTGAAGTGAATCTACGTGTAATGGAAAAATACGAAATATGTAGTAAGTCAACGTTCTCAGTATATATTTACATGTTTATCTCGTTCTGTACTAAAAACATAATCAAAGATAGATCTCCAGGTTTGTCGTATTCACCCGGGTGTGTGTGCGTTATGAGTGCTTGATGGCAAGATGTGTGTGTGTGTGTGTGTGTGTATGCGTATGTATGTGTGTGTGTGTGTTATTTATGTGTGTATGTGTGTCTATGTCTGTGTGTCTGTGTGTTTCTGTGTCTAAATATATGTGTATATATAGGTTCAAAAAACATACCTCCAGATCTCCATTGTTCTCCTGATTGTGGATACGATACGGAGGATTGTTGGGCCAGAACTGTCGTCCGCGATGCGAAAATTTTAGACTACGCAGTGATTGGCTGTTTAAAGATGGAAAAATTGGAAATCCAACATCAAATAAATTAGCGCTATATATAAAGATACGGAAACGAACTCAAAACCCCGTAAAATAGGGATAAGAAAGAGAAAAGGCATAACTAATCACATGACAATCCACAGGACATTCGCTTATGCGGTCGTCAGATTATTACAAAAGGTGGCAAACACGAACGCGTACATATATACAAATGCACATATACAAA